CACAGCACGTAACCTCGGCCCTGTTCGGCTGGCTGAAAAAATAGCTGATGCTGATATTGATTCGTTGTAAGAGAAAAATTTTGTTATTTCATCGAAACGGTATGGCTGATGAGTAACGGAGCCCTCGACTCGAAGCGAATGTAACCCAAACGGGCCCGTACGTGTGTTTTTAATCAGGTGAGGTGGGCTGCAGCGATAATCGAGGGAAGCACACGAAAGTGGGCCGTGCGCCCGCTCACTGAGCTGCATGCGCAATTTGTGTATACATACGTCCGCCTGATTGCCTAATGGGCCTGAGGGCCTCCCCTTCGTTTCCTTTCTCTGCGAAATATTGGGTAGGCCTGTCGGATGCTAGTTCAAACCCTCCCCTGAAAAAATCGTATCTTTTTTTTTCTGAAAATTTTCCAAAAATTTTATGGCACATGAGGCTTGAGAGCCTCCCAATCTCTTCTTTACGTATGTATGGACACGCATGCGTGTGGTGTGGGTGTGTGTGCGTTGTGTACGTCCAAGTTGTATCCGATCAAAAAAATATTATCTCGAACTTTTTTTCCATTTTTCTAAAACATTTCTTCTCTTTGGGATAAAACATTTTTATGCTATAACATGATGTCGTTTCCCAACGGGCAAAACTGTGAAATTATTGTATAATTCATGTGAAATTAATGCGTTTCCAAGGAATCTTAGGCCTTATTTGGAATGCGGGATTTTTTTTCCCGTTCCTGTACTTTTTCCTGTGAAAATGAATTGATTCCTGTGAAATTCCTGCTCAATTCCTGCTCAATTCCTGCGATCCAAACAGGTCCTTATAGTTTTTTTATACGTATATAAACAGATAGCTAATGTTCTTTTTTTCCAAAACAAAAGATGTACATTGTCCTTGTACCTCTCCGCCCTTCAGCAGATGTTGATGGGGAACACGCCGGTGGAATCGTCAAGCACAACAACATTTCCATCATTTTTGTCAAAGCGAGAATCAACAGTTAACCGTTGCAAACTGATTTGCTATTGGGGAGAGAGAAAGAGCAAGGTGTGCTGGATTGTGCATGAACTCTTTTTTTTTACATAAACACCATATTCGTTTGTTGGGACTTATTCAATGTACCAATGTTTTCTCTCAAAAAACACCAAAGACTACCAAATTTTAAATCAACCAGAGATACCGACAAATGAACAGGCCAAAAGGCATGAACTCTTTAATTGCACGCTTCTATACGGAGTATATATAGAGATAAAGAGAGGAAGAATGAATTAATTAATATGTATTATAGTAGTTTGCGATCAGTCGCCGCATAAACTGCGCAAAACACAAAAAGGCAAATCTCCAAGAGAAACATTCTCACAGACAAGACCAGAAAACCTGTTCGTATACGTATCGTCACAAGAGGTAACCTCCCCAAGTACACCACCAAACTACTGCCTTGATTCTTACTCCCTCCGTCTAAAAAAAAAATACAACTACATAGTTACGTATCGGTAAAAAGTAGTTCACGTTTAATTAAATTTCTAGCAAATACTACTCATATTTGTGACTCCATATTAATTTATTATGAAAATACATTTCATAATTCATCTAATGATATTTATTTAATATCATAAATATTGGTATTTTTTAAATCTATAATAGATATATGTCCGTGCTTGCACCGGAATCAATTTTTTAATTAACCTCATCACTCAGACATAGACGCGTGAACTCCGAGAATTTTGTATTAGACGCAGACACATGGATCCGACAGTCTCTGTATTGGAACCGGGTAGGATGCGAACGCGTGAGCCCTAAGTTGAGGATGATTCTCATCGGATGTGGATACATGAGAATGAGCGAAATTTGGTATCACCGGATAGATGATTATTTTAGAGTCTTTTTAGGTGTAAATAGATTAATCAAATTTAAGATACTAAATCATAATACTGGGCTAGAATTATATTCTTTTTTTTTTTGACAGGAGGTAGATCTTAACACCAAGTACTTTTCAAAACAAAAAAGAAGAAAAAAAAGCTTAACTCCAATCAAGAACATGTACATCAGTGCGGCCAGGCTTCAATCATCCCAGTATCTTGAGCCGCTTGACGGACCTTGCAAAATCACTGCAAGAAAAAATCGCAGGGCGATGTCAGCAACAATCCGGAAGGATAAGATGAACTCCACACGTATGCATTGGTCGTAGCGAAACTTACTCCCATGGCACATCTCCGAGCAGCATCCAGTCCCCTTCTCCATCCTCGTAGGTGACCACCACGCCCACATGGCTGGTGGAGCTGCTGTTTTCCTTGTCGTCTGCAACAGCATGGCAATAATTCGGGGATCAGATCATCAGAATCGGTAGGTTGGATTGGATGATTGTAGATCCCCTGAATTTCGATGAACCAACAACGAACACTGGTACCTACCTTGGTTGCCGGTGGTGGTCGGGAACATGCGGGCGAGCGTGGCGAGGAGCTCGTCGTAGGAAGCGTGGAGCGACAGGTCCAGCTTCCTGCCGATGGCGTCGCCTTCCTTCTTCACCTTCACGTACTTGGCGCCGCCGCCGCCGCACGCCCTGCTGCGCGCGGAGCTCACCGGCGGCCACCCGACCAGCGGCCTCTTGCTGCCGCCGTTCCTCCCGCCGCACGACGAGCCGTCATCGAAGAGCGGCAGCGTCGTCGTCGACTCCGACTTCTGGAAGGCTTCCGCGAACCCTCTCTTCCCGGCGCGCGCAGCACAAGGGTGGTCGTCCGATGAGGTGCTGCTCAGCTCGTCGGCCGCGGCGAGGTGGTAGCCATGGTCGATCGTCATGGGAATGGGGTGGCGCGCGCTCGGCGGCGCCAGCCCGAGCTCCAGCTCCATGCCGTAACGCTGCTGACTTCTGCTGATGTCTTTCTTTCTTGCTGGCAAAGCTGCGAGCTTTCGGTGCTCTATCTGTTTCTGTAGGATACGTGTAGGAATTCGGGTGAGATGGCTGGCAGTCGTGGGCAGTTGGGCACTGGGCAGGGAGGGGAAGGAGATGCTCCTCGCATATATAGGGAGGCAGGGAAGAAGGGAGAGAGACGTGCGGTGCTTGACAGCGGGAGACGACGAGGAGGAAAGTGGAAAGTAATCGATGGAGTGCAGTGCAGGACTGCAGGGGGGCAGCTTGTCGGGGTTCAGGGGGACCCAGAGGCGGCCAATCTGTCTGCTTGCCTCCCTGTCCTCCGTCCCTGCCCTAGGAGAGCGACCGAGAGCGAGCTCGACGTGGCGACGTGGCTGTGGCTGTCCAGACTCCAAAGTCCCGTGCTTTGCTTTGATCTCTTTGTTGCCTACCGACAGGACCCTCCAGTTCCGTGCGCGCTTTACTGCTAATCCACTGCACCCGGCCCCCGGTGGCTTTTTGCTGTGTGCCGGAGTGCAACAGACAGCCGAGGGTGATGGGTTGGGCGGTGTCAACTGCTGCTGTCACACACGCGACTCGTGTTGTCCGCCGTCAAATTCAGGTAATCAGGTCGGTGCATGCATGCATCGTTCAGTTACGTGCCGCAGGAGATCTGCCCGTCGGCGAGACGGCGACATGACATGCGGAACTGTGAAACGCTGCAGCGATTGTCCTCTTTGCCGGCCGGCCGGCCGTTAGAGTAGCGGTCGTCGAGATGCGCCGCCTCGTACGTGCACGGCGACGGCGGCCGGGCAGGGCTCGAGCGCGCGCACTGGCACTGGCGGCAGGTCACGAGCGAACTTGCAGACGAACGAACGCGGGAGCCGGCCGTGGTCGGCGACTCGCGGAAGGGGTGCGGGGAATGCAGTGCAGCACAGCACATGCGTGCCGCGCCGCCGGCCGATGGGTGCCTGCGTGTGCAGCGTTGCCTGCGAGCCCGTGGCGCGTGCGCGGCCGCGCGCGAGGGCTCAATTATTATTGCTACGAGTTCATCAGGTCAAAGCCTGGGTCCGTGGCTGCGGGCGGGCTGTCCGTGGAACCGCGGCCACGACCCACGGTGCTGGTGGCCTGGTGCCCTCCCGCTCCCGCGGCCGCCCGTTTCCGACGCGCTTGTTGCCTGCCTCTCGTCTCCTGCGTGCATGCGTGCGACGCGCTACGAATGCGCAATGGCTGGGAGTGGCAGGGGACACGCACAGTGTCCTGCTCGGTCCGCCACGACCACGAGACCGTCGCCCTGCAGGTCCCCGCCTCCGCGCGCGGACTCTGGGAGCTCCGATCCGGGGCAGACGCCGGCCGAGACAGACACGTGCCGACCGCCCCGAGACCCAGAGACGCGAGAGCAACGGGGAGTTGTTTACGCGCGACACTCCCAGTCCCAGTCCCGCCAGCACGAGTGATTCGGCGTCCAGTACACGTGGAAGGCTTTCTCTCCACCTGACTACCTGAGCATCCGGAAGCGCCGAAGCGGGGCGGATTGAACTGCGACGCGCGGGCCGTCCCCGGAGCCACCGCGGCCCATGGCGTCGGCCGAGCGGCGCGGCGGCAGCGGCGGTGGCCGAGGTGGAAGTGTCGGCCTCGGGACGTGGTGCTAGGCTGCTAGCACTGCTCCTCACCTCTGTGCTGGCGCCACTCGCTCTTTACATCGGTGCGCCCATCTCCCCCTTCTCCGGCTCCAATGGTACGGTTGTCTTGACCTGTCGCCCTTTCGTCGTTTCGTAATGCACCTCTGATCTGCACGTCCTTGATGAAGATGCTCTGTGATCTCTGTGTTCGTAGTGACTGGGAGGCGCGCATTCGGACGTGATCCATACATTCCGGCAACATCGCCACTTGTTCCAATGAGGCATTTGGGGACTTAGTGGACCTTAACGTGTTTCTCTTCATAGATCATCCGGAGTGAGAAGGGCAAGCGACTGAACACGCTAGCACAGGTGAATTTCACTCTAGTTAGAGGTGCTTCCATCTTCAGTTGTGATGTTACATAAGATCGGGATCTAAAGGTGTGGTGGTGAACTGTTGTGATAGGACACGTCTGGTGTGGTGAAAGAACATGTGCAGAGAGTTGCATCCGCCGCAGGTGCACGCGACAAGGAAGGTGTAGTTGCTGCCATGGACTATGACACTGAATTGGGACATGATGGAGTTAGTCAGCTGGATGATGACAGAAGAAGTGTTTCGGATAGATCAAGTGAATCAACGGTCAGCAATGATAACGTACTGTGGAATGGAGAAGAAATGAAGGAGGTGGAGTCACATGATCCAGTTAAGAGAGAGCGTGTTGATGATATTACCACCGCTCGAAAACAAATAAGTCATGGTGGTGATGTTGAAGTGAGGCGGCACAAAGCTACTACAATGCATGGCAATTCTAGCGGTTCATTGAAAAAGGTAAAACAGAGTGACATATTGATAGATAGAAATAATTAAATTGATCAAATTTATGTCCAAACAATAAAAATCTATAGCATTGAGTTTCTGAACTATGAGATTTCATCCTAGGACTACAATTAGTAACCTGCTTTGGCTACACGAGGCATATTGGATATGCCAAATTCAATCATAATAGGTTGTACTCAAAAGTCAAAACACTAATTGTTTCCAAAATTGTGGATACATTCTATCTTGGTCACTTCTCTGTTGATATTTTACCTTTTCTAATTTCCCTTGGAGATGTTTTAGGTTTCGTAAAAGTATGCGCTGATATTTGAAAATTTTAGTGGCATCATTCTTTATAAAAGGCCTTATAGATCTTGCTTTACGAGTTTAGGTGCACAAGGTTTTGATTTAGTCTTCAGTCTCTTATTCTTTCATGGTTAAGTAGTTATTTAGTTACATAGTGGTTTAATTTCCCAGGAAAACACTGTTGATAGATCATCTAAGCAATTTGCAGGCGCTACCTCGGAAGGGTCTGATTCAAAAGCAGTTACCCATAGTATCAATCGACATGCAAGTTTGCCAGATGCAACGATACGTACCATAAAAGATCAATTAAGAAGAGCAAGAACATATATTAGGCTCCTACCTTCTAGAGGCCGTCATGCCTTTGTTAGAGATCTTCGAAGAAAGATGAGGGATGTCCAACAAGCACTCGGTGATGCAACCAGTGATAGATGGTTACCAAAGAAGTACGTTCTCTCTCTTTTTTTATTGCAGGGTTCACCCTGGTATTGCGATGATGACATGTACTTGGTTTGGGTTTTGATAGGAATAGAGTGTCTCTTACACGTTTTATTCTACTTTATTGCTTATGCAGTGTCTCTGGAAAAATTAGAGCAATGGAGTTGGCATTAACAAAGGTCAAATTAGTGCATGAGAATTGTGCAGCTGTTATTGATAAGCTATTAGCATCCCTTCATTCAACCGAGGACCAAGTTCAAGCTCACAAGCAAAAGGCCAATCATGCAACACTGATAGCAGCTAAGGCCCTGCCAAAAAAAACTCTATTGTCTTACACTGCGTCTTACAAATGAGTACTATTTATCGAGCTCCCACAAAAAGCATTTTCCAAATAAAGAGAAGTTTGAAGACTCAAAGCTATAACACTATGCATTATTCTCATATAATGTACTGGCAGCTGCTGTGGTTGTGAACTCAACTCTTGTAAATGCTAAGGTACAATATTTTACATGTGAGGGTTGCACTAAATATTCTAAGAAGATTCTAGGGTTACTTCACTTGTACTGGCTACTAACATTTTAATTAAAATTACAATGCAGAACCCAACAAGACATGTATTTCATATTGTAACGGACAAACATAATTATGCTGCAATGAGAATGTGGTTCTTGGCAAATCCCATAGGAAAAATTGCTATTCAGGTCCAGAACATAGAAGAGTTTACTTGGCTAAATTCGAGCTACAGTCCAGTTTTGGAGCAACTGGCGTCCCATTTCATGATCAACTTCTACTTCAAGACCCCATCAAGATAGGCTGAGCAAAAACCCCAAGTTCCAGAATCCCAAGTACCTGTCCATTCTCAATCATTTGAGATTTTATCTTCCTGAGATCTTCCCAAAGCTTAATAAGGTGTTGTTTCTTGATGATGATATTGTAGTCCAGCAGGATCTAAGTAATCTTTGGTCAATAGATCTGAAAGGAAAGGTTAATGGCGCTGTCCATACCTGTGGAGCGACTTTCCATAGGTTTGATAGGTACCTCAACTTTTCAAATCCCCTAATTGCTAGGCAGTTTGATCAGCGTGCTTGTGGCTGGGCGTACGGCATGAACATGTTCGATTTGTCTGAGTGGAGGAAGCAGGATATTACTGATGTCTACCACTACTGGCAGAATATGGTGAGTATTCATGAGCTTATCAATTACCAGTAATGTTCGAGGCAAAAATTACACTGTTTCCATAAATGCTTGCAAAGGGCTATTAGTGGCAATGGCTGTTGGCTTGCATGATTTTACTACTTAGTAATTCTTATTTTAAAATATTAACAACATGTAGTCTATTTTTGTACACTAATGGATAATAAAAAAAATATTTGATTCTAGAACCGCTTAATGTTGTATTAGTGTCTTGTCGAACCATATATTTGTCTAAGGACATGAATCTCATTCATGCAGAACGCAAATAGGCAATTATGGAAGCTAGGAACACTCCCTGCTGGTCTTGTCACATTTTGGAACCGCACATTCCCTCTTGATCGCTCATGGCATCTCTTGGGTCTAGGGTACAAGCCGAATGTCGACCAAAGAGATATCGAGCGTGCAGCAGTCCTACACTACAATGGGAATCGAAAACCTTGGCTTGAAATTGGATTACCAAGATATCGCAAATTTTGGTCCAAATATGTCAATTTCGATCATGCTTTTCTACGTGAATGCAATATACATCCGTGAGCTGCTGCTGGTTATCTTTTCAAAAAGAGAGGAAAAAAACAAGAGCTACCTAGATCTGCAGAGTATTTCTTTGATGAGTACTCTTCTCTGATTAGTTTTTAATCGATGTATAGTCAATCTCCCTGCTCTAAATTAGAACGCAGACAAATCATAGTAGGCCTCAGAATAAGATAGAAAATGGTTGCTTTGTGCTATTATGATCCTTTTGATCAAATCTTACGGACGGTAATGTTAACATTTTACTTGTTAGTCTATTGTATAGGAGTATAGTAAAACTGTAAAAGCAGCTCGGTCTATTGGAAAACAATCACCTTGTTTGGTACAGCTTATTTGGAAAGTGTTTTCCAAATAAGTTGCGCAAATAGAGTAAAAGTGGCGGTCAAAATAAGTTGGTCTGATACAGCTTCTGCTTTTTAGTACAAATGGGAGATGTGGGAATAAACGTGGCTAAAATAAGCTGCTAAAAAGCGTAACGTTTGGCTGTTGATTTCACCTTATTTTGGCCATAAGCAACTTATAAGCTGTACCAAACAGGCTTAGATATGTTAAGACTTAGATTTGAGCAATTTGTGGTATTGTTTGCATTTTATTTAGCAAACCAAATGCATAACTGAGGTCACAAGTCTTGATGCATTGCAACACATGCTATTGCTACCTCTTCCCAACATTCGTCATCCGTGAATGCACGACTGGATTGAGGGATTCAACACGTTGCACTGTAGTGCGTGTCACCGTCGTCCGTCGACGACGCGTCCCTCAGCCGCCTCGTGTTCGCTGAGGGCAACGGCAAGGCACTCGCATATGATGTCTCGCTTGCCGTCACCGTGCGTATTCGCAACTCTTTGATCGGCTGGCGCACGGGCGCACGGCACCGCTGGACGCCGAGGTCCACTTCCGTTCCGCGGCAACAAGTTCTCGCCCGTGCCCGGCTGGCGAGGTGCGCAGCCGCATCGGTGAGGCAGAGGAAGGATCGTGGGGACTGTGCGATGATTTACAGCAACCATGTAGTAAGTTGGATTGGATGTGTTGGATCGACATGGATTTAAGCGGTGTTGGATTGGACTGGATTAGATGTCTCTACATTAGGATTGGACTGGATAAGGATACAGTTTTTAAGCGCGTGTTTAGTTGAGGGAAGTTTGGAATTTGGGGTTACTATAGCACTTTCGTTTTTATTTAGCAATTAGTGTTCAATCATGGACTAATTAGGCTCAAAACGTTACTCTCGCAATTTTCAACAAAATTGTGCAATTAGTTTTTTTTCCATCTACATTTAATGCTCCATGCATATATCGCAAGATTCGATGTGATGAATACTGTAGCATTTTTTGGAAAACATTTTGGAACTAAACACGGCGTAACTAGACTTTGGTTGGATTTTTTTATTGAATTTGGATGTCCATCCAATACCAAGTCTAGCGTCGTCCACCATGAGCAGCGTAGCCTGGCATAGAAAAAAGCACGCGGGAGGCGATCGGAGACCGGCAGATTCGGTGCTGGTAGCGCGTGGCTTGGGGGAGAAGGTTCGAATGCGGGAGCGGAGGAAAGGGAACTGGCGTATCTCGCGTGTCCCCCGGCCACGCCGGGTCTCTCGGACACCCTTGTCCCGTGCCACTCCGCCTTGTCGGCGTGCGTCCCCGCGCTCCTCCAGACGTCACGCGCTGCGCAGCACGGGATCTCAGGGCTCGCCCGATTCGCCTCGCCCGGGGGCCGGGGCCGGACTGCAGCTTTCTTTCTCTCTGCGGTCTGCGCTGCAGACATGCGCTCCTCTGCCGGGTAAGCAGCGTATTTGGCTTATAAATTCATGGTTTATCAGTTAATAAATAATATTTTTCTCTCTACACTAAACCAACTAACAATAGTACTTTCAGTTATTGTTTATAAATCAAATAAGTCCAAACAAACGTGGCGATACAGGGTATCGATATATATATCTGGCCAGATTCTGTCGTCCTACGAGAGATTCACATGATCCTTCCTGTCGTCTGCAGCGGTTGGTCGTCGATGTCTCCGAATCATCAACACAGGATGCTGGTCTGCTTGAGCATGCCAGAGCGAAGCCTCACCGTCCCAGCTCTGTGATCTTGCCTTTGGATTCTTGCTACACATAGCGCACTGTCGAGACTCGAGAGTCGAGAGTTCTGCAGGAAACAGCACGGCCATGTACAGTCAAGGTGAAGTAACGAAATTCAGATGATAATATGGGATAAGGTAGCAGTTTGGTTCTTTTGGTCACATGCTCACGACGAACTGCGACTGTACACTGCATTTAGGGGTCACCCACTAACGCATCCAGGCCACCGCCGGATGAGCACCCCTTTACAACAGTAACTTAGTTTTTTTTTAATTCGACATGAAATATATTTGAGAGTGATCTTGCATATGTCAATATACAAGTTTGTATGTGTTCTTATACACTTTCGTCCTGTTCGTTTGAGCTTATTCAGAACTACTTTTCAATTATGGAACAATATTTTTCTCTCATAACATTTCAGCATAAGTATCAAAATAAGCCAAATTTTAGCATCAGCGATGTCAAAGACGGTAATTTTGTGAGGTAACAGTAACACAATTTCCATTAGGCTGTCATGAGCTACACTAAGTATACAGTGCACTCTAAGCATATCTATGTTTCTATGTTTTTTCGTCGTGCCATCCAAATGCTAACATATGATATTTTTCTTTCTTCTATCTACTTATGTGCCTTTTGTTTTTATATATCCTTATATGTTTTGAACCTCAACATTTTAAAGGAGGCCTAAAAGCTGCCCTTCCTAATCAGTCCGAGCCATTAGCATCATAACTAAGTCATTACCTTCTAATAAGACATTGCCTTATGAGTGGGAGCCACTGCAACATAGCATTCTTCTAATCAGCCTGTTTGTTTGTTAGTTTCAACCAGGGTTTATCAGTCATGTACAATATTTTTCTCTCATAACAAAATCAAGACCAGCCGGGCTTATCAGCCCAAAAACCAACCAACGAACATGCTGAATCTTTCTTAAAGCAACCACAATGTAGCAATAAGTGTAGTCTATAGGATTAAAATATTTTCTACCAGCTAGCTAAAAAATTGTGAAACATATCAATACATATAGTCTATAACAAAAGATACTCATAAGCTTATGGACTATTCATAGGCAATACAAAAATAGTATTGTGTCCTACTCTCTCTTGTTGGCTGCGAGTGTGGAGGAGAGATTTTTTGTTTTTAGTGGGACCCTTCTTATAAATAATTTATTGGTTGAACATTGTAAAAAAATAACAGTCATGCGGGTTCATATACATTGTGATTGCCCTTAGACAGAACTATTGGAGTGGAACAGTGGTAAGAGGATTTGAGAACCACAATGGAACTATTTTTTCCTAGATTTAGCTCAAGACTCTATGCTTGCTACCACATCCGTAAGCCATCTCTAAAAGCAGCCACAATATTGCAGAAAATGGCCCATAAGCCTTTTTAGAGTGGTCTATATGTACTGTGAGACATTGTATAAAGTAGTCCATAAAAGTGTCAAACATAAGGCAAGCGTAATGTGCTAGGACCCTATTCGCTCGGAGGAATCTGGATGAATCTAGAGGAATATATGAGAGGAATCAGCTGGCTACAGTAAATTTCAGCTGGCCACTGCTTTTTTAGCACCAACCGAACGTGGCCATAGGACCCAGATATATTTTTTTTAGGTTCGGTTTAGTTCCTAAATTTTTTTACCCCAAACTATCACATCGAATCTTGCGGCATATGCATGGAGTATTAAATATAGACGAAAAAAACTAATTGCACAATTTGATTGGAAATCGCGAGACGAATGTTTTAAGACTAATTAGTCCATGATTAGCCATAAATGCTACAGTGCTATATGCGCTAATGATGGATTAATTATGCTTAATAAATTCGTCTCGCAGTTTTCCAGGCGAGCTATGTAATTAGTTTTTTTATTAGTATCCGAAAACCCCTTCCGACATCCCCGAAACATCCAACGTGACATCCTAAAAATTTCATTTTGCAAACTAAACACAGCCTTAAAGCAATGTTTATACTGCCAAAAGAAGTCTTAACAATGGTCCCATGTCACATAAAATTCTATCCAATCCTTCAACCATGCTCAGGCAGTCAGGCGCGCGGAAGAGTGAGACATACAAATAAAAAGATTATTTCTTATGTGTAGACCTTAAACTTAAGGTGATTTTTTTATATGTCGGTTCCTTATGGTGTGACTACACAATGTTTGTGGTCAATGACCGTAGCGATACTGAATGCTCAACGTCACATTTTTGGCCCACTGTGGATGTCCTAAACTCTGCTGTTGCTACAGTGATGCTCATTTGCTTCGATCCTGCATGAGCCATGAAAAAAATAATATAATAGGTCCTTGTGGAAAATGAAATGTTAGCGATGATACACGCACAGAGGCTCTGATCGGCTGCACTTTTACCATAGTTGTGCCAGCTGATGCTGCTTGGTTTCTGTATATATAGTTTGCTGAGTAGTGTTATCGATGCACAAAAATGGCATCTGAACAAAGCGAGTTTTTCACTGACCTACCAAATACGTATCCCTGCCAAGTTAGGCAAAACCATCATCGCCAAGACACCAAACAGGTCATTGCTGTATCTACTCTCTAGCGATGTTGGAAAAATCACAACTCATTTTTTTAATCACGACACTGACACTCATACATGCAATTACGCTTGTCTCTATGAATGCATACAAGTACATTGTACCTCATACTCACCTCTATAAACGAGCATATGCACACATGTCTTATTCCTATAAACACATTTAAAAGACTGAGATTGAGTTGATAGACCTCAATATTGATGAAGCCGCCATAAACATCTCACTATTAATGGCCACATTGTCTACCATTGAATGAACAACACTATTAGATTTATTAGGATGCTGGAAAATTTCTTGTTCCTGTATTTTTCTGTAAAAATAAACGGGTTCTCAAATGACTCATGTGAAATCCCTATGTTTCAAGAGGAAACTTGCATCT